AAAGGGAGGAACTGCAGCAACCAGATGTGTTATGCCCAGGAGAGCATTCAGCTATGGTTGAACCACGCCGGGTCGTGTATTATGCTTTGCCCTGGAACGTGCAAGGGTTTGTGGACGCTGCGCTTCAGTGTAAACATCCTTGTGACACCTTTGCGTGCAGTGACACTGCCATCAAAGAAACTGTTGACTGGATTGCATCTTCTTCACCCAGTGAGGTTTGTGCGTTTAGAGCTGGCCAACTTAAGCGCTTTCTCCACTTGGCTTCCGGGTTGGCTAAGGAAGAGAAGGCCCTTCATGCCTCTCTGCATCCAGAGGTGCGAGCGGTGCTAAGGGGGAAGAGAGTACTCCTCTTTCAGGCTTTGCTCCATGAGGCGGGGATACAAGATAAGCACTTAGTGAAGGAGATGCTTAACGGATTCAGCCTCGTTGGGGAGGTCCCAGCCTCGGGCCAATTCCCACCTCTGTACACTCCTGCATCCATTTCGCCAGAAGAGCTGCGTCTGCTTGCGCCCTGGGTGCGCGGTAGGCTGAACGCTCAACGAGGTGGCCGTGATGTGCAGGTGGAGCAATCGGTAGCAGATGAAGCAAGTCTGCAAGCCTCGGATGGCTCTGGTTGGTTGCTAGGGCCCTTCTCGGAGGAGGAACTTGATCGATTCTTTCCTGATGGTTGGGTGCCATCCCGGAGGTTTGGCATTGATCAGGGGAGGAAAGTCCGAGGTATTGCCGACCTCAGTGCCTCGATGGTTAACTCTTCTTGTGGAACCAATGATAAGCTCACTCTTCAAGATATCGACGTCATCGTTGATATTGCCCGTGCGTTTGGTCATGCAGTTGCCCGTTTTGCGCCAACCTCCCTGCAAGGGATTTCGGGCCGGGCGATGGATTTGAAGAGTGCTTATAAGCAACTTGCGATTGACCCTGCTCATGGATGGGCAGCCATCCTGGCTGTGTGGAACCCGAAGCTAGAAAGATTTGAGTACTACAGATTCACGACACTGCCTTTTGGCTCCATTCACGCGGTTGGAGCCTTCAACAGAGTGGCGAAAGGTGTAAGGCAGATCCTGGTCAAAGTCTTCCGATTAGTGGTGTCCAACTTTTACGATGACTTTTGTCATCTGGAGCTGGACTGTTTGGTGGAGACGTCGCATGAGCTTGCTTTGGCTGTGATGCAGTTGCTTGGGTGGTCTGTGGCGAATGATGAACACAAAGCACTTCCTTTTGCAAAGCTCTTTACCATTCTTGGAGTACAGCTTGATTTGAATGAAGCGTGTCGTGGCCTTCTTCGCGTAGCGAACAAGGAGGGTCGAGTTGCCGCCATTCTGGAGTTGGTGGAAAAGATCTGCCAGGAGGGCACCCTTCATCCAGGGCTCCTGGCCAAGCTCCGAGGCAGGATGATGTATGCCTCTTCACACACGTTTGGGAGAGTGGCAGTGCTGGCAACCAGGGTGCTCTCACGCAAGCTGGCGATTGGTGGTCCCGTAAAACTGACTCGGAAGGAGATTGATGTCATCCGGGGTGCTGCGGACCTACTAGCTCGCTCAGAAGCCCGTGAAGTGTGTTTCCTTCAACCAGAGTGCCCGGTGTTGGTCTTCACAGATGGCGCGTGCGAATCCAAGAGTCTCTTGACTACGCATGGTGCAGTACTCATTGATCCCCTGCAGCAAGTCAAGAAGTTTTTCGGTGAACCTGTCCCTGAACCGCTACTAGATCGATGGAGGCAAGGGGGAAAGACGCAGTTGGTAGGCCAAGCAGAAGCGCTGCCGGTCCTGGCTGCAAAAACTTTGTGGCGCCTCCTGCTGGTACATCGGAAAGTGTTATGGTTCTTGGATAATGAATCTGCCAAGGCTGCATTCGCTAGTGGCTCTTCTGCGGTGGATGATACCTTTGAAATTGTGAGCCACTCCCTTGTGCTGGACCAAGAGCTCAAGGCTTACAACTGGTACTCAAGAGTGCCGTCGTGTGCAAACATCAGTGACGCTGCCTCTAGGTTGGCCTTCGAGCAGTATGATGATTCATTCAGGCGTGAACACTTGGACTGGACGTGTGAACCTCTGGCATCCCTCTTGGAGGGAAGGGATGCGATCGCCCAGCATGTGAAAGGGTTGTAGTCGCCTGGGGCGATCGGGAGCTTGGTGCTCGTCCTAACCTTCTCACTTCGGTTGGACCGAAGCGAGATTGTGTTTTCCAGATGCTGGGAGATTGCACCTCATTGGAAAAAGATGGGATGCAAGTAGAACCGGGATTCTCATGGGAATGATACTTGCATTTCTACGTTTCGAAGAGTTTGCCAATTTTTACGATAAGAGCCATTTCGCGAATGCGATAGTGCTTTATCGTTTAGGATTGGCAAATTGTTTTTCTACCTGGGGTAGAAAAAGAAATCTCTTTGAAACGTTGTCTTTATATTTTCACGTTCACGTACATGTCTGTAAGAGCAAGGTTTGGTACCTGCATCTTTTGGATTTGTATTTTTCTTGCCAACATGCGTAACAGCTTCTCAGTGCTTGTTGCGTGAGTTGTGAACATGTGTGGCATGTTTGTCGCTCAAGCTTGGGGCTTGAAAATTTTTCACCCGCCCGCCCACCCGGGGTTGTAGTCGCCTGGGGCGATCGGGAGCTTGGTGCTCGTCCTAACCTTCTCACTTCGGTTGGACCGAAGCGAGATTGTGTTTTCCAGATGCTGGGAGATTGCACCTCATTGGAAAAAGATGGGAGTTCGCATGTGCTTCTTGTTGTGCAAGTAGAACCGGGATTCTCATGGGAATGATACTTGCATTTCTACGTTTCGAAGAGTTTGCCAATTTTTACGATAAGGAACTGAGTTCGTACTTGGAGAAGAGCGGATTCAGTCCAAGCCTGGACCCTACGATATACCGGAGGAAGACGTCTAAGGGTCTGACGTTGGTACTGTTCTATGTAGACGATTTGCTGATCTACTCCGAGGACCCCTCGGAAGGGAAGAGAGTTTTCGAAGGACTGCAGAAACGCTACAAGCTGAAACTGACTGGAGAGCGTCCTGAACATGGTGCGGGGGAAGTTTCCTTCCTAGGTAGGAGAATCTTCCGACGTTCCGGAGACAAGCGCGTCTATTTCGGGCTAGATGGCAAGTACCTAGACGCGTGCTGCTCTGAATACAACATAACCAAACCGAGCCCCAAACTCCCGTCGCTTGAAAAGCGATACTCCGACCCGGTTCGTAAAGGGCAAACTGAAAAAATCAGCCCAGCTGCGCACGAAAAGTATCGTAGAACCCTTGGTCGGCTTGCATGGGCAGCCCTCTCCCGACCGGACCTGCAATTCTGTTGCGGGTTTTTGGGCCGGCACCAGGCGGCGCCAGACGAGGCTGCTGAAACGTGCATGAGAGACGTCCTTAAGTGGATAAAAGGGCTTCCGCACCGAGTACAGGTGTTTCCATCAACTCGGGAGATCCTGGAAGATGATGCGGATCCTCAGGCGGTTTCCTGTTTTACAGACGCAAGCTGGAGTTTGAATTCGGTTAGTGGTGGTGTGATTACTTGGGAAAACTGCTGTCTGAAGACTTTTAGCAGAAAGCAATCAACCACAGCCCTGTCCAGCGCTGAGAGTGAGCTTGCGGCGCTCACGGAGATAGCCAGGGAAGGTCTCTACATTGCCCTCTTGACAGAGACCATCTTGGAAGGCATTCCGCAGGACAGGGAGACCGGTTACTATCTCTTGAAGGGTTACTCTGACTCTGAAAGCGCGGTTTGTATCTCAAAAATGGGAACATTGCTGAGGAAAGTTCGCCATATAGAGTTAAGAGCCGCATTTCTCCAGGAACTTGTGGATCGTGGAAGGTTCACGATTGAGCACATACCGGGGAACCCCGCAGATGCTCTAACGAAAAGTCCCACGAATGACAGTTTGGCAAGCTTGTGTGAGGCTTGTGGCTTGACCACCGAGCCGGTTGGCTGGGAAGAAAAAGCTTCAGGCACTAGCGTTTCGGTTACCTTTAAAGAGCCCAATACCTGCGACGAAGTGCTCGCAATTCCGAGCTCGTGGAAGGACGAGGCCTACAGAGTTGCTTCCGGGGAGGCCACCATGGTTGTCTTGGAACTCTGTTGCGAAGAGGAAAGCGCGATAGCCCAAGCTTGTAAGCGGGAACGTGACATCGCGTACTTTGGAATCACCAAGAAGCTAGACTTGCTGAGTAGAGAAGCTTCTTTGTTGCTAAAAGGGATTCTGGAAAAGATGGCTTCTAACGAAAGAATCTACGTGTACGCACATTTGTCTACGCCGTGCAGCGCAGGTAGTGGCCTTAGGCACCTGCGTTTCTCAAAGGACGTGAAGAACCGGGCGAGATGGAGAGCTAGTCTGGAGGTACACAAGAAGTCTTGGAGACGCATACGAGCAGTTTTCCAGGACTATGCTGGCCACGAGAGGCTCCTCCTCTCCCACGAATGGCCTAAAGGGTCTGGCCTTTGGGGAGAAACAGTCTACAAGTCGACAGCGAAAAGACTGGGACTCGAGCACGAGTGTTTGGTAGACCGGTGCTGTTTCGAGGAAGCTGGCAACCGTATCCTGAAGCATTGGTGGTTCGTCAGTTCGGATTCAAGTTTTATCTGGACTTTATCCTCTTGTGTTTGCCCAGGCAACCACGAGCATGCGAGTGCTACTAGCATAGCAGCGACAGGTGTCTATCCGCAGGGCTTAGGCCGCTTCCTGGTGAAAGAAGCCAGGAGAAGTCTCGAAAGACGAAAGAAGGACTGACCGCGCAATAGGCATGAGGGGGTGTGAAAATATGACATTGGCTCAAGTTTCGGCTCAGACCCCGGTGGGGTGTTGTGGTAGGAAAGCGACTGTGAAACAAGCCCTGAGGCCCAAACCTTGTGTGGGGGAACAGGCTCCATCTTGAATCCCAGTCTCTTTGTAGTGCCATAGCATACCGTACCCACCGACAAGGGGCTCGCTCCTAACGGGGGTTGACCAACACACCCTCCCACCATCATCGGGGGAGAAAGGGTGGTCAACACGCCTCCCGCAATGGGTCGGGAATACACTGTTTGCAAGGGCTGCGGAAATTGGATCTACACAGATCTAATCACGCAGGACCTCAAATGCAAGAAGTGTGCAAAGACCTGGCCCACCAAGGGGAGGCGTCCTACAGTGTGGGAATCTGTTACCTGGAGGAACCCCAAAACCCCTAAGCCCAAAGCCCAGAATGGGGAGGCAATGGGGGGCACGCCCAACCCGCCGTCGCCCAAGCCGCCTCGAACCCCTAAGGTCTACAAGGCCTTGGAAGGGGTATGGGAACAAATTCCCGAAGCTGCCCGTGTTGAACTCTCCAAGGCCGGTTTCAGGGCCCCGGTGGAGGACAAGTCGTCGGATGAGGTGGCCCTTCTGGACCTATTGCAGGCCCACATTGGGGATCTGCCAGCGGACGTCCAGACAGCGCTGCACAACAGGAACAAGGTTCCTGATGTTCCGCCAGAAGAAGCCGCCATAACAGCCACGAACGAGCTCAAAGGGGCATCCACCAAGCTGCGGTCCTTAGGCCACCGCAAAATTCGTCTCCAAGCCAAGATTGACGAATCGAAAGCCGCCCTCAAAGCGTTGTATGTTGAAATGCAAAACTTGATGCAAGAGCTGAAAGCGGCTGAGGAAAATATGGAAACCCTTGCCAAGACCTTCCGGGACAAGGTACTTCAGGCGCCCGTTCAAGAAGAAGATGAGGACTTTAATCTGTCCGAGGTGCTTGGAAGCATTGGCCTTTCCCTTGATGAAGCCCAACTCCAAAAGGTGCGGGATGCCCAGGCCCAGCACAAGCTCCAGCGAAGGCAGAAGGCTGCGGAGCAACTGCTGGCCCATGCCGGTTTCCCGCCTGGATTGGGGGGGAGTCCTCCAGGTATAGGGGGTCAGGCCATTGCAGCCCAGTTGGAAGCCATTGGGGTGACCCTAACCCCAGACCAAAAGAACATGGTAATCACTGGGCAGTGGCCCGGCCCCTCACAAACCATCGACCTCAAGGCGGCAATTGAGCAAGGATGCCCCAACATGGAAATCGAAGACCTTGAGCTAAGACGAGAAGAACTTGAAGTGCAGCTTGAGCGCAAGCGACGCAAGCTGGCTACCCAAAGCGCCTCCCCACCCACCTCCGTCAAAGAAGGGGGCAAGGAAAAAGGGGAGCGCAGCCGCTCGCCCAAAACCAGGAGTTAGGAACCCGGCCGGGAGGGCGCCACGTGGGGTTTAATAGTGGGCTATTGGCCTCACCAGGAGCCCGACCTGTGGCCAGGAGGTTCGGAAGCCGAACAAGGCTTTGTCACTGTATATAAAAAGAAGTGGAAGGCGAAGGGCCAGCTTTCTTGGTCCACAGACGTTGAGAAGGCTAGCACCCGTGTGCCCTCCGCGAGCCTTTCAGGCACTCCCGAGTCTCAGGCTGTTTTGACCACACCATCCAAGCCGGGGACGGAGGACGATTTTGACCCTTTCCCCCTTTCTAGGGGGGTTTTTACAAACAATATCTCACCTGAGTGGAGGGAGTTCGGTCCTTCCCCAATCAATCTCTACAACCGGTTTTCAGCCCTGGCGGAAGACGAAAATCCCAACGATGAATTCACCTCCCTCCTCCTCAAGGCCAAGGACCAGTCACTTGCTGCATGTGAGGAGGAATTGGTGGAACTGGTGGACAAAATGCCAATCCGCCAAGGGTCTCTTGAAGAATGGGCGGCCAACCATGCATTGCATCAACTGGCCACTCACAGAAACGAACCTAGTGTTTGTCTGGAGGCAATTGCTGATGCAAAATGGCAGCTCAAAGACGAACCAGCAAAATTTGAAATCACAGTTGCCAATGTCACAAGATGGAGAGCTGAGATCAAAACGTGGCTCCTAGATAGGCGACCACAGGGGGTGTGTCTCCAGGAAACCCACCTCACAGCCAAAGAACAGCATCTTGCCATCCATCAGTTGGATCAGGCCGGGTACGCTGCCTGGACCCTACCGGCCCACCCAACTGAGGGGGGGAAAAACTCTGGAGGCGTCATGATTGCGGTTGAAAAAGATCGAAATTTCCGATTCCTGAGATCCTTTGGTGTTGAAGGTAAAGGGTATGTGGCTGTGGTAGGTAGAACCGGGAAGAGGGACATTGTTTTTATTTCCATCTACCTTGAAACCAGTGTAGGCCTCACTGGAGGACACAACCCCACCATTGTCGGTGATCTTATTGCCTTCATTAAAGGCCTCACCATTGAATGGTTTGTAGCGGGGGATTTCAACCTCCCACCGCAAGACAGAGCCTAAATCCTAAACCCTAAATCCTAAATCCTAAAGCCTAAATCCTAAATCCTAAATCCTAAATCCTAAATCCTAAATCCTAAATCCTAAATCCTAAATCCTAAATCCTAAATCCTAAATCCTAAATCCTAAATCCTAAATCCTAAATCCTAAATCCTAAATCCTAAATCCTAAATCCTAAATCCTAAATCCTAAATCCTAAATCCTAAATCCTAAATCCTAAATCCTAAATCCTAAATCCTAAAGCCTCAAAAAATCATAATCAGAACACGACCCCATTAAGGTTTAAATATACATAGGTAGAGAGGGTTTATGGTTTAGGGTTTAGGGTTTAGGTTTATTGAACTTATTAAGGGTTCAGGTCCGGGGAAAGTTTCGGGGAAAGTTTCGAGGAAAGTTTCGAGGAAAGTTTCGAGGAGTTTCGTTTTTTGGATTTTTCGAATCAGAGGCCCAAATTGGCTTCAGCAGGCCCAAAATTGGTTTCAGAAGGTCAAAATTGGCTTCAGAGGCCCACATTGGCCCAAACTTGGCTTCAGAAGGCCAAAATTGGCTTCAGGAGGCCAATTGGCTTCAGAGGCCCAAATTGGCTTCAGCAGGTTCAAAATTGGCTTCCAAATTGGCTTCAGAAGGGTCGAAAATTTGGCTTCAGAAGGCCCAAATTGGCTTCAAAAGCCAAAATTGCTTCAGAGACCCAAATTGGCTTAGGAAGGCCCAAAGTTGGCTTGAGAAGGTCAAAACTGCCTTCACAGGCCCAAATTGGCTTCAAAAGGCCCAAAATTGGCTTCAGAAGGCCAAAATTGCCCTTCAGAAACCCAAATTGGCTTCAGAAGGCCCCAAATTGGTTTCAGAAGGCACATTGGCTTCAGAAGGCCGCAAAATTGTCTTCAAGAGGACAAATTGGCTTAGAAGACCCAAAGTTGGCCCCGAACTGGCTTCAGAACGCACAAAAATGCCAAAATTGTCTTCAGAAGGGCTTCAGAAGGCTCCCAATTGGCTTCGGAAGGTCAAGGCCAAAATTGCCTTCAGGGGCCCAAATTGGCAAAAATTGTTTTCAAAGTGGCTTCAGGCCCAAATTGGTTTCAGGCCAAATAGCCAAATAGGCTTCGGGAGCCCATTGGCTTCAGAAGGCTCAAAATTGGCCCAAGAAGGCCAAAGTTGCTTTCAGGGGCCCAAATTGGCTTCAGAAGGCCCAAAATTGGCTTGAAGGCCGAATTGACTTCAGAAGGCCCAAAATTGGTTTCAGAAGGCCAAATTGGCTTCAGAGGCCCAAATTGGCTTCAGAGGGCCAAAATTGGTTTCAGGCCCAAATTGGCTTCAGAAGGCCAATATTGGCCTCAGGCCCAAATTAGCTTTGGAAGGCCCAAAATTGGCTTCAGAAGGCCTAGGACTTGAAAAGCTTCAAACAGCTCCAACGTGCTGAAATGTTCTATTTTCTTGAACCCCCTTGCCCTGCGCAGGCACAAAGCCCAACAGTCTTCTTTGTTCGATTTACTTAAACCTCCTCGCCTATGCAGTCACAAAGCAACTGACAACAACTCAACAAAAAGAAGCCGGCAATTTTGCACCGCAACAGCAAAAGTGGCTTTCCAAGAAAAGGAAGGAATAAGTTCAAGTTTACACATTGGCTTGAGGGTTTAGGGTTTAGGGTTTAGGGTTTAGGGTTTAGGGTTTAGGGTTTAGGGTTTAGGGTTTAGGGTTTAGGGTTTAGGGTTTAGGGTTTAGGGTTTAGGGGGTTTAGGGTTTAGGGTTTAGGGTTTAGGGTTTAGGGTTTAGGGTTTAGGGTTTAGGGTTTAGGGTTTAGGGTTTAGGGTTTAGGGTTTAGGGTTTAGGGTTTAGGGTTTAGGGTTTAGGGTTTAGGGTTTAGGGTTTAGGGGTTTAGGGTTTAGGGTTTAGGGTTTAGGGTTTAGGGTTTAGGGTTTAGGGTTTAGGGTTTAGGGTTTAGGGTTTAGGGTTTAGGGTTTAGGGTTTAGGGTTTAGGGTTTAGGGTTTAGGTTTAGGGTTTAGGGTTTAGGGTTTAGGGTTTAGGGTTTAGGGTTTAGGGGTTTAGGGTTTAGGGTTTAGGGTTTAGGGTTTAGGGTTTAGGGTTTAGGGTTTAGGGTTTAGGGTTTAGGGTTTAGGGTTTAGGGTTTAGGGTTTAGGGTTTAGGGTTTAGGGTTTAGGGTTTAGGGTTTAGGGTTTAGGGTGTAGCACGGGTCAGCTGTACGCAGTTGTGTGCAGACATGCCCACCCCAAGGCCACCCAAACACTACTCAAAACGAAACAAGCCGGAGCCAGCCAAACCAAAGCCAGCCCACCTTCAAACACTTCTGCGTCCACCACTGTACTTCGGACTAATACCTAATATGCTTTCTGATGTCATGGAGCTTGCCTATGAAGATGCCCTGCTGCCAGGTAACATTTAAGAAGATGTTTTGAGAAAGTCATTAATTAGAATTAGGAGTTTTGGAGAGAAAAATTAGGTTTCGCGTTGGGGGGCATCTTCGGCCGCAGGGCCTTTTCATTGTCCCTATTCTCTTTGCCGGAGTGTCGAGAATGTACGGCGAAAGGCCTGTTGTTCTAAAGATACCGCGCGAAGGTCATGTCTAGAAGCTTCCGAGAGAAAAACTAGGTTTGACGTTGAGGCGAAAGGCCTGTTGTTCTAAAGAAACCGTAGAAGGTCATGTCTAGAGGCTTGGAGAGAAGAAACCCTGTGTTGTATTCGGGGAAGTCTTCGGCCGGAGGGCCTTCTCATTGTTTCTGTTCTTTTGCCGGAGTGTCAAGGCTGCATGGCAAAAGGCTTGTTGCTCCAAAGAGACCTTGTGAACTTCCGAAAGAAAAACCAGGTTTTGCGTTGGGGGAGATTGTCAAGGCTGCGTGGCAGCCACCCCCCCCCCCAACTTGATTTCGAGGGGGGCTGCATGGAGAAGGCCTGTTTTAAAGATGCCGTGTGAAGGTCATGAGAAAATCAGGGCCTTCTCATTGTTTCTATTCGCTTTGCCGGAGTGTCAAGGCTGGGTGGCAAAAGGCCCGGTGTCCGGGCAGCCCCCAAATTCACTTCGGATAGGGGGGGGGGGGTATCCGTTTTAAAGGGCGCGCCTCCGCCAAGCATTGACCCCCCCGGCAATTGAATTCGGATAGGGGGGGTATCCTGGTGAAAGGCCCGGGCAGCCCCCAAATTGACGTCGGATAGGGGGGGTATCCGTTTCAACAGCCCGGGACCCCCCGCAATTGAATTCGGATAGGGGGGGGGGGTATCCTGGTTAAAGGCCCGGGCAGCCCCCAAATTGACTTCGGATAGGGAGGGGGGGGGGGTATCCGTTTTAAAGGCCCGGGGCCCCCCCACAATTGATTTCGGATAGGGGGGGGGGTATCCTGGTTAAAGGCCCGGGCAGCCCCCAAATTGACTTCGGATAGGGGGGGGGGGGGGGGGGG